GTACAAGGGTAGAAGGAATAGCACAAGTGCAACTACGAGAACTACCCCGGGAGCTCGGCACCCCCCGCCCCCACCCCGCGGCTCAGCCGGTGCCCGGCGCCCGTGGGCGGAGCGGGGCTGCGCTCTCACAGCCGCGCCGGCAGGGGGCGCCCGGGGGGAAGGGCGGAGCGGCTGGGGGCGCCCGTTACCTGCTCCAGCAGCGCCCGCAGGCGGAGCTCGTGCGCACGGCGACCCTGCGCCCCCTGCCGCACGTACGCTGCGGCCACCAGCCTCTCGCTGGCAGCGAAGTTCTCGCCGTTCATGGAGCAGGCGAGAGCAAGTTACAGTCTACCCGTCTGTAGGTAGGCAAGCGGTCTGCGCATGTGCGGGGGTGGAGTGTGACGCAACCGTCCGGGGCTGGGTTCGCTCCCCCACACACGTGGGTAGGTGGCGCCTACTGGTCCCTGCCCGGCTGTGTCACACTCTGCCCCTACGCATGCGCAGGTCGCTCGCCTGCCCGAATCCCGCGGAGGCTTCGCTTCGCTGTGTGCGCCTGCGCGATGGCGGCCGTAGTCTGGGTTGCCAGGCCTTGGAGCGTGGGGCTTGGTCCTCAGGTTGGCATGGGTTATAGGGTGCCTCAGGTCTGTTACACTGGGTAGGTGCCGCCCCCACATAGAATCAGAGGGTGCGGCTGGAGGGGACGTCAGGAGGTCACATCTAGTCAGGGGGTCTCCACCTGGGGTCCGAGCAAGGATTTGTCTGCCCCGCTCTCAGAAACAGATTGGGCCCCACGTGGCCCCTGCCCACCCGCACATGTCTGATACAGCAGGCAGGGCCAAGCTGTCCACCCCATGGGGCTCTCCAGGGGTGTGGAAATGCGACAGCAGGGAAACAGTGCCACTGCTGCTCGGCTGCTGCCAAATTTTCAGACCTGCAGAGAACCTGGTGGGGGGGCAGCATGACAAGGGCTGGATTTGGCCCACAGACCACTCATGCTTTAGATGGAAAGCATGCATAGGCCTCTACCCACCATATACTTGCATTGATAGCTTATGTAAGCAAAGGTAGCTGCATATGTGCCCCAAATTAAGCATGTGTTAATATACTCAGAATCGGGCCCATGGGGCATGTACACCATGATTCTCAAATCAGAATTCTGCAGCACCCTGGGGTGTTGAGAGCTTTTTCAGGTGCTGTGCAGTGCCACTCAGTATTAGCACCCTTAGATACACAAACAGCTACACGATTCACAAGATAAACCCAGAGATTTTTAATAGAAATCCAGTGTCAAAAAACCTTCTGACATGTTAGGGTCTGTATGAGTTCTTTTCAACTGAAGACTTGCTCTATTATTTGTTGAGTCAAAAAGACAAGCAAAAGCTAAGAGCTGGCATTTTCTGAGGAACATCTTGAGTCTAAAAAAGTGGAGAACCTCTGGTGTACAGAATACATTTTTGAGTTGCTTCAATATTTTTCTTATTAAACACTACATAGTTTGATAGACTAGACAGGATTAATATTTTTTTATTTCAAATGTTTGTTGTATAAAATCAGCAGCACCTTATTTTGTGTTAAATGAGTTTAAGTTCTGTAGCGCCTGTCAACTCTTTGTCAAGAACACTGCTTTGGTATTTATACGTGCAGTTCACTACTTCAGCTGAATGTGTTTCTTGACCAAGTCATTTTTAGGTCCTATATAAATATTAGACCCTTCTGGCAGAGTGTGTTTAATAACACTAACAGAAAATAAAAGTATTAGAAGAAAGCATGCTATGAAAACGTAGAACATTTCAACATTTCTCCGCAAGACAGAACATTATATTCTGTGTATGTTGCTGTCCGATTTCAAAATACTGGGTTCCTTCTTGAAGGAGAAAGAATGATATAGATTAAGTTATTTTTATTAGGTATAGAATATGATATATTAATTATTTTCATATCACAGTAATACCTTGTATTTTGTTTGTATACAGATGTATAGTCACATATTCATTAATTTAATTCATACATTTACTTTGATAACAGGACATTGTTGAGATGGAGAAGCTTGGGAAATTGCTATGTGAGGGGTTGCATTACATACAAAGTAGTTATTGAATTGAGTGAATGGACTGATGTCCATTTTGATGTCTCCACTTGCCATCATTCAGCACAGCCACTATCAAAAACTACTTAACTTTTCTTCATTTTATGTTAATGCTTTATGCTTGTCCTTTCACAGCAACTGATGAAATAAGTTTGAGTTCACAAAAGCTTATTTTGTATATGGTTATTAGTCTATAACTGCTTGAATTCAGACTAACACAGGTAACTACCTCTCTTGGTTCTGTCTGTCACATATGGTCACATTTCTTTGCTCTTTAAAGCTTCTCATAAATCATACACAAATGTGAACTTTTTCTCCCCATTTGGTTGAACAAATTTATCTGCTTATTTGACTGTTCACAGGAAAGAAAAGAAAAAAATCAGAGTTGTCTTATTCAACAAGTCTTTGATCAGGTCTGACCTGAGTGGTGGCATGCTATACCAATCCCTGGATAAAGACACTTCTCTGTGGACAGAAGTATGCTTTAGTCTGCTTTGCTTGTATTGGAACAGCAGGTGGAGATCCTGCATGGGTAGAGAAACTCCTTCTGTTTGCCTATGCAACAGATGATGGCATAACTATTATGGAAGAGTTGCAGACAAGCTGTTTGTCATTCCGGAAAACCAGTTGCATTCATTATTTCTTTGAGAGGGTGTACAGACCACCACTGGTCTCTCCACAAAATACCAGCGAGGCTATCTCTTTATAGCAGAAATATAGGAATGATATTTTTTAAAACAAAATTCTGGCGAGATTTCAAATTTTGTAATTAGAATATTTATATACCCGTTCTCTAGCAACTTAGTTTTGAAGTCTTACTTTTGAAGTCTTCTTTCACATTATAGTTCTATCTTTAGCAAGTTAAATAACGGTGGAAAGGTATATAGTGACCTTTCTATCTGTAATAAACTGTAGCTGTAATCAGCTTGATTAAGGATCTGTGAGACTTCTTGATGAAGTAATGCTATACCTATTTGTCTTTCTGTTCATAGTTTAACTGATAAGATTATTTGGCTTATTCAAACATAGAAGAGTTATGTTTTAAATTAATTCCTTCACCCTCATCTTAGAAATAAAAACTTTTTGTTTTAAAATTCAGCTATTATAATCCACTGGAATAGTATCACTTCAAAGAATATCTTTGTTTTATTCCTTACTTGAAAGTATCACCAGGGGGCGCCCAGCTAAAGCAAAAAAACCCCAAACCCCACATACTTTAAGAAAGCAACCATGAAAATCTACTTCTACTTCTACATATCCTCTTTGGAATTTTCCTTCTATGTCCCTATGTTTTCAAACTGTAAAATGTAAATTATAAATATCTAGACAGATAGATGGATTAGTTTTGGTGTTCAAATAAAAGAAAAAGTGATAGAATATATCAAAGAAAAGAAATAATCCAGACATTTCAGCATTTATTTAAACTAGTAATTAGTACTTAATGGTTAATCCAGAAACTTGAGATAATTGAATATGACAGTTTGTAAATTATATTTAATAAAAGATTACTTTTAACTATGGGCCTTTGCTAGCTAATATTTTGAGCCCTACACTGTAAGTCTATGAATGAGCAATGAGAGAAGATGTTCAGATTATGGGTGTGTGAAAAAAAATCACAGAACTTCCATAACATAGGGAGAAGATCAAAACAGTGTTAATACGTCCCATATAGAGTAATACATGTCTGAAGAAGGAAAAGGAGATAGGAAGAGTTTTCAGTTGGTTCCTTTACTGAAAGAAAATAATTTTATGTTTGCCCTGCTCAGTAGCTGCATAATGAAATAGCCTAAACACTATAATATATAACTAATATACCTGTGTGGAGATGCACTGGGCCTGATGATCCATTTTGCAGAACAAGTGTAAAATTCTCCCATTCTGGTTTGGAAACTTGTTACACCCAGTTTGCACAAAGATGAAAGACTATGACATGCAAGACTGGAAAATCAGGCCCTATATTTCCCCTCTTCACATACAAAATTACCAAGCATAAGAAGTTAATTAGTTTGGGTTTATACTAGGGATACATTTTGCCAAATATGCTCATATTCAACAAAAATAAATTTAAAAAATGCAAATAAGTAGATTTTATCACATGATTCTGATATTAATAGTCATATAAGCAAATCATACACAACTTGGCTTCAAAGTCCAATGCTAGCAGTTAAGATGAGATAAAACAAAGACCAGTTAGGTATATGTCTGACTGTTACTTTAATCCATCGCTGAACAAAGGAACCTTCTCAGTTTTTCAAGTGGTATGTTGAGTACACCACCAAGTTGTACAGTGATTGATATTGCTCCCACTTGCATTTTACTTTGTGATTCTTGATCCTGAAATATACCTGCTTTGTGCAGGTGTATTTCACTGAAGTACTGGGTACTGCACTGATGCAAGGATCCCTAAACAAGGCAAAACTGTGGCCTTCTCAGGGCTTATACAGGGATACAATCTACGATAACCTCTTGTCTAGATAATAGAAGGCAGCTTTCAAAATGTGATTATAGGAACCCAAAACAACACACATACCTAGTGAAGTGTTTCTACTTTCACATGGAAACAAGAGGCTTGGATGGCCAGTACAGCGGAGAAATTGTTGGGAGGGAGAGAAACTGGAGATGCTGGGGGCTGGTAACTGTTACTGTGAAAGAGAGGCCAGTGTAGGATTCTGGAAGAAAGCCAATTAGCAGGATGTTTCTGTGAGCAGGATCTGTTCTGATTAGCACGACACAGTTAAGTGTTTGTAACTGAATCCTATTTAGGTTTCAGAGTTAATAATGCATGGAGGGAACAGAGTAGGTCACACCTCTTCTATTGTTTCACACTATCCTCAGACAGACATCAGCTGATCCCAACATCAGTTACACTCCTTTCAGCAAGTTTCCTTTCAGCCACCACCTCAAAACTTGATCTGTTATCGTAAAAGAACAAATTCCAGGGGACAACTTTGCAACCAAAAGTGAATTCTGTGTGAAACGCAGGCACAGGCCTCGCAAAGCATGGCCACTTCAGGAAATCATTTGATGCTTCCAGTAAGAAAATCATAAGCAAGGCTGGTGATCAGACTTCAGCGACTTGGGAGTCTCCTGACAACACCTTGCTGGAGCCAACACACGGGCCACAAATCCGCTAGGTAGCTCACTTTGCACACTGACAGCTAAGAAAAGGTGTTTTCTGGTTTTAAATGGGGTGGGATGGGACTTTAGAGACTGCTGGGTCAGATGCTCTGATGAACGGGTCATACGTAATAATATAGAATACAT